GGAGTCTTTTTATAATGCAAAAATACAGCAACGGCTAAAGCCAAAAAAAAATACTTCACCAAAAAAAATTTCTCCTAAAAACTAGATAACAGTCCACGTTTTAAAGTACTTCCTAAAGACTAGGACAAACATAACATTAGGCATCTTATTAATTACTAACGTGACTTATTAAAAACTAACACCCTCCCTTAAACTGAAAGCTTTCAAACTTCAGTTTAGAGTCAGCTTCTTGAACTCTTCCATAGTGCCGATACCCATCAACCTTCTGAGATTTTGAAAAAGCAGAAACTTGAGAGGTTTAGTGAAAATATCCGCCAGCTGGTCTTAACTTCGGCAATATTTCAACTCTATCGCTCCTTCATCGTTGAGATCTCGCAGGAAATAATACTTCACATCAATGTGTTTGCTTCTTCCATGTAACACTGGATTTTTAGATAGCTTGATAGCAGAGTTGTTATCACAGAAAATTGTAGTTGCTCTTTCTTGTTTAAACTGCAACTCTACAAGAATTCTTCTCAACCAAACAGCTTGACAAGCACAAGCTGTAGCAACAATAAATTCAGCCTCAGTACTTGATAAAGTGACAATCTTTTGCTTTCTGGAAGACCATGAAACAGCCCCTGTGCCCAACATAAAAACATAACCTGATGTGTTTTTCCTGTCGTCCTGATCTCCTGCATAGTCACTATCAGCAAAACCAAGCAAACTTGATTTCTCACCCTGCTTATAGAACAAACCAAAATCCTTAGTTCCTTGTAAGTAGCGAAGGATTCTCTTGGTAGCTAGCAGGTGAATTTCGGCGGGGCTCTCCATATATCTACTTATAAGAATTACAGCATATATGATATCGGGCCTTGTGGCAGTAAGATACATCAAACTTGTAACATCCGGCAATTTGAAATAACTATGAAAAAGCTTGAAATTGGAAATAGTCATTTTTGGAAAAATTTAAAATCTGGAAATTTGGTTAAGTGTGGGAAATCAGTGAATTTTGGCCAACTTTGAGCAGTCATAACTCCTAGCTCAGGATGAGTTAGGAGTAGTTCCCATTATGTTTGGAAAGTCCTTGGAATGATCTTTCCAACGCCACCGAGTTTGCTCAATTCCAAGTTCGTATGAGCGAGTTATGCCCTTTGAAAGTTGGGCAGTTGGCAGGGAATCCGTCCGGAAATTTTAAGGGCATTTTGGTCTTTTCCCTAGCCATTTCTTTTGGGATTATATTGTTGTATTAGGCTGATCTTTGGATCATTTTGTCCCATTTTAAAAGAGAAAGAGTTAGGGTTCTTGAGAGTGAAGAAGAGAAGAAGAGGAGAAAGATGAGATCAAGCACGTTCCGTCGTGGATTTTTCGTCGGGGGTGATCCCTATCAAAGTATGTGAGTCTTTAGTGTGGGTTGATCCTTTCCCCCACACCCCAAACTCATCATTATTGAGAAAGATTGGATATGTTGTTGAAGTTGTTGGGTTAGTTGTTGATTGTGTTGTTGAAATTATTGTTGGTTGTGAGACATGATTTGGTTGTGTGTTTGAGTTGAATCTCATGTATGTTGAGGGATCTTATGATCCTTAGTGTTTGGATTTGAAACCTTTGAAGTTAGGGTGGTTTAGAGTTGAAGAAAAGAGGGAGAAAAGTCGGGTTTTCTGGGGAAGGGGATGGCGCGCCGCGCCTGCCAGCGCGCCCCAAAGCGGACTCTGAAGTCCAGCCCTTGGGGCGGCGCACCTCTCAGAGCGCCAACAGGTGCCCTCTGAGCGTCAAGGGCTGGCGTTCCGCACCTTGCAGAGCGCCAAGGACGCCATGTTCCCCCATTCTTTTCATACTTTCTCATGCATGTTCCTAGGTATTATACCTATGTTTCCTAGTTGTTTCCAACACTCTAAGGTACATTTAGACATCCCGAATTCATTCATAAACATGTGATCATAAACCTTGAATCCATAATTCAATTCAAGGCGTGTTAGTATCAAGTTAAGGTGAAGTTAGAGTCAAGTCAAGCAAAGTTAAGAAGTAAGTTCAAGCAAGTCCTCCAAGCTTTTCAAGAGTTGTTATTAAACGTTTTACCTTTGTTTTAAGGTTCAAGTTCATGTCGAGTAAAGAGTATAGAGTTCAAGCCAAGTGAAGAGTCTCAAGTTTCAAGTTAAGTCAAGAGTTTCAAGTTGAGTAAAAAGTTTAAAGTTGAGTTCATTTCTCAAAGTTATTAGGGAACTATGTATTCCCAAAGAAGTTTTAAAGAAATGTTTTTACATTTAAACAAGGTTGGAAACTGAGATTTCCAAAAGAGCCTTCAGGCTAGTTTTTGAGTAATTATCTCATATCAGCAGGAAGAAATATGTTTTAAAAATATAAGAGCCAGTACATTTTTTGGAGTAGTATCGAGCACCGAATTGGGGGAGCGTTCAAAGAACCTACAGCCCCCATAGAACCATGTCAGCCACCATAGGTAAAAAAGGATCATACTTTTTAGATGAATCCTTTTCAGATTAGACTAGTGGATCCATTAGGCAGTTCAGGTCTTATACATTTGGCCGGGTATAAGATGCTCTGGCAGCGTGAGGTCGATCGCTGTATCATCACTATAGCTCTCATGTGATGGTTGTCAGTTAGAGAAACTCCCACAACAGTTATTGTATTTTCATACACAGAAAGTATTATATTGTATATACATTAGTTCAATTGTATTTCTATATACATCTCAGGCTTATTGTATCTTTGTACACATACAGAGTTTATAGTATGTTTTAAGCAGTCTTTCCTTATATCACACTTGTTTTAAATTGCCTTATATTGAAAGAAGTCAGTCAGGTTGAGTTGAGTTGAGCAAGGTAAGCTTTTCAGTCTCTTCCAGATTTCTTTCTAGCCTAGTTGCTTAGTTTTCCAGCTCGTATACTCGTACATTCCATGTACTGATGCCAGTTGGCCTGCATCTTATTACGATGTAGATACAGGTACCCAGGATCAACATCCAGTACGTCGTTGATCCAGGTGAGCACTCCAGAGTCAGTGGTGAGCCTCCTTGCATTTTGGAGGACTCGGTTATTTTATGTTCCTAGTTTTGTTTTGTTAGGATGTTGTGGGGTCTGTCCCAACATCCATCTCAGTATTTGTAGAGGCTTCATAGATAGTCAGTCAGTTAGTATTGCGTCCCTCATCTATGTATATATGTAAATATTCTATTTTGAGACTCGAGTTGCCCTTTTGGGCCAGATTTTTATCAGTTAAATTGTTTTATGTCCTTGCATGACATTGAGTTATTCTGTTGAGTTAGGTTTCCGCTGAGTTAAGAAAGCCAGGCCAAGGGTTTGCTTGGGGCCAGCAATGGTCTCCGGGTGCCAGTCCCGCCCAAGGTGTAGGCTCGGGGTGTGACAAAACTACCTACAATTCCTAAACAGTGTGCTGTCTACAACATCTCCTCTTCCAACTTTGTTTAGCTTCAGGCCGAACTCAACGGGAGTATTGACTGGATTACAATTCTTCATCTTGAATCGATCTAAAATTTCCCGTACATATTTCTTTTGGGAAACAAATATACCATCATCAGATTGCACTACTTCTAAACCAAGAAAATAATGCATCTTACCTAGATCAGACATCTCAAATTCATCTATCATGGACTTTTTAAAATGAGAAAACATGGCATTTATCATTCCCGATAAATATAAGATCATCAACATATAAATACGCAATGAGCATTTTTCCTGGTTCTTCAAATTTAACAAAAACAGAGTGCTCATATGGACATTTCAGGAAACTAACCTTTTGAAAGTAAGTCTCGATGCGACTATACCAAGCTCGCGGAGCTTGTTTTAGTTCGTAAATAGCCTTTTTCAACTTGTATACCTTATGCTCAGATCCAATTTTAATATAACCAGAAGGTTGCTCGATAAATACCTCTTCATCCAGGTATCCATGTAGGAAAGCTGATTTAACATCCAACTGAAAGATAGGCCACGAATTTTGTGCCGCCAATGCAATTACCATTCTGTGTAGTCAACTCCATGTTGTTGCTTGTATCCCTTAGCCACCAATCGCGCCTTATACTTGTCAATTTCACCATTTTCCTTGAGTTTCGTCTTATAGACCCACTTGACACCTATGATTTTGTGCCCCTTGGGGAGATCTGATAACTCTCAAGTGTCATTTCTTTCAATAGAATCAATCTCATCATCCATGGCTTTACACTATTTCTCCTCTTTGACAGCATTCTCAAAAGTTGTAGGATCGCGGTCTGCAAACAATGCAAAATGGGAAACATCTTCATTAACATCAATCCCTGTTACCTTAAAATCCATCATCCACGCGGGCCTTCTGCGAGCACGACGAAGAGGTTGATTAGCTATATCAGTCTTTTCCAAAATTGATGCTGAACTTTCAGCAGCTGCACGAGGAAAAGTTTTTGAAATATCGGGTACAACTGATGGTGAAGTTTCAGCAACTTCTTGAGTAGAAGTTTCAGAAATTTCGGGTACCACAACTACTTCTTCGACTTCATTATTAATTAGGATTGGAGTAGATTGCTGCATATTACAATCCCAAGTTCTTTCTTCATAAAAAACAGCATCTCTGTTGGTCACAACTTTTTTTGCCAATGGATTGAACAACTTGTACGCCTTGGATGCCTCGCTAACTCCAAGAAAAACACATTTCTCTCATCTATTATCAAGTTTCTTTCTTTTTGCTTCCGGAACATGTGCATAATCAATGGAACCAAAAACTTTGAAGTGGTCTACTGCCGGTTTCCTCCCGCTCCAAGCCTCCTTAGGTGTCATATCTCGAAGAGCAAAAGTGGGACTTCTGTTCAAGATGTGAATGCTCCAATTCACTTCTTCCGGCCAAAATTCCTGTGGAACTTTTCCTCGAGCCAGCAAGGTACGAACCATATTGAGAATGGTTCTATTCTTTCTCTCTGCCACACCGTTTTATTGCGGTGTATATGCTGTTGTGAGCTGTTTTCGAATGTCGCGAGTCTCACAAAATTCATCAAATACCTTAGAGCAATATTTTCCTCAGCTATCTGTCTGAAGGTTCTTAATGATCTTTCTAGTCTCATTCTCCACATGAGCTTTGAAGCTTTTAAATACATTAAAAGCCTCCGACTTTTCTTGCAGAATATACACCCAAGTCTTCCTAGAATAATCATCAATAAAGGTAATAAAATACTTTTTACCACCATTCGAAATGGGGTTGATTGGGCCACAAATATCTGAATGCACCAGCTCCAAAACACTATTCGCTCTCCAGGACTTCCCTTTTGGAAATTGAGAACGATGTTGTTTACCAACAACACATTCTTCACAAACTTGAGAATGAGTGATGATTTCTGGAATACCTATCACCATCTTTTTCTGTTGGAGAGTTCTTAATCCACCAAAACCCAAGTGACCATATCTAAAATGCCACAACCATGAAGGATTTCTTACTTCTGCCATATAGCAAGATTGATCATTTTCAATCTTCAAAGGAAACAACCTGTTTTGACTCATTTTCACAAAAGCAATAACTCCTTTGGAGGGATCAGAAATTTCACATGCATCATTTCTTAAGGTGATTACATACCCTTTTTCTAACAGTTGACCGACACTTAACAAATTGCTTTACAAAGCTGGAACATAGAACACATTGGATATGATTTCCACACACCCATTTTTTGTTCTAAAATTGATATTACCTTTTCCCATCACATTCACAGTTGAAAGATCACCAAAACTAACTGTTGACCGGAAATTTTCATTTAAAACAGTAAAAGAAGACTTACTTCCAGTCATGTGGTTACTGCAGCCAGTATCTACATACCAAATAAGTTGTTTCTCGAGCTCGTTTCCAGCATGAACCGCCATCAACAAGGTTTCTCCTTCCTTATTCTCAGCAAAATTTGACTTTTCTTCTTTCTCATTAGGCAGCCTTGTATGACATTTAGAACGATAATGACCAAATGTATGGCAACGATAACATTCTACCTTGGATTTGTCAAAATCTCTCCCTCTGCCTTTGTCGTAGTCATTATTGGCTCTGAAATTTTGATTGCCATATTTGTTGCCTTCATCTCTATATCCTCGATCTCCTTTTCATCTTCCTCTACCTCTACCCCTTCCTCTGAAATTTGAGAAACAAGTATTAGTAGAAGTCTTCAAAGTCTGCTCTTCGGAAGATGAACTGCGGTTCATCTTCTGCTCATGTACCAACAAGGAACTTTGCAATTCGTCAAGCGATAACTCATCTATATCTTTTGACTCCTCAATGGAGCAAACGACATAGTCATACTTCGGTGTCATGGAGCCCAATATCTTTTCCACGATTGTTACATCGGTCATTTTTTCACCATAAAATCGCATTTTGTTGCTCATCTCCATTGTTTTAGCACAATAACTCATTATAGACTCTCCTTATTTCATCTGCAAAGTCTCGAAATCCCTTCTCAAGGCTTGAAGTTGTGCGCGCTTCACTCTTATAACACCCCGTATCCGAAAATTGAAATTTTAGATTTCTGGTGTTACAGGTGGCACTCACGGACACCATCTACGGACCGTAGATGGACTCATGGTCCGTCCTGCAGGTCCGTGGTTTATGACAGAAAACTTCCCCAGAACTCAGTCAGAAAATTTGGCTAAGTGTTGACCCATGGCCGGACTTACGGTCCATAGGTCAGGTCACGGACCGTAGTTCATGTCCGTGGATTCATGCCCTAAAAGCCCAACTTCACTCCCGATTGACGGTTGACCAGCACAGACCGTCAATCGATCCACGGTCCGTAGGTCTGACCGGAGGTGAGGATTAACAACCAGTTAGCTGAAAATTGTTGATAGATCAACTTCAGATGGTCATAACTTTTAGCATAAAAAGAATTGTGTGTTCCATGACCTATGATATGATAGATAATTGAATTATCTTTCCAACGCCACCGAGTTTGCTAAATTCCTACCTCTGAGTAAAAAGTTATGCTCGTTTTAGTGAAGGTCTGTCGAGCAGGCTTGACTTACGGACCCAATCAACGGACCATATATTGAGTGACGAACCGTAGGTCCATTCCGTCAGTCACTCCGACAACAGTTAAGTCAGGGGTCTTTTAGTCTTTTCCTATTTTGTTTAACCCCTAAGATACGTCGTTTAGATCCTACATCATGAGGTTTTAGTCAGTTTAGGCCTAGAAACATAATTATAACTTACCTTAGTCAAAATCATTAATCAAAACTTAGAAAATTAGAATCAAGATAGGAGAAAAAGGTCAAGAACCCTAGTTCAAGAACGCAACAAAGTTCCATCAGTTCCAGCCCCGAAATCGAAAGATGTCTCCGTAGAATTCGTCACCAGGTATGTGAGATTTCACTAGTGGGTTCCTTTCACTCATTGGGTCCCTATAATTCAGTCAGTTTCTTGATTCCCTTATCATGAATAGACCTAGGGTTTCTAGAATTTCAACAGATCATCATGAATTAGTTATTTAGATGTTCCAAATCAGATTATCATGTTATTACATCGTTTCTCGCATGAATTTCAGAACTTAGCTATGTGTTTCTTTAGTTCTTGAATTACACATGCTAGGTCAGATATCTCAGTTATTCAGTTATACATGCCTCAGTTATTAATGCATCATTATCAGATTAATTATTGCATTCTCAGTTTGCATGTCCAGTTTTGAGCTATCCAGTACTTTACAGAACTCAGTCATAATGTGTTAACCACTTAATTCATTGGGAGTAGCATAATACCGAGTTGGACTAGGGTTCAACGTACCCATATAGTCCCAGAACTACGAGTCACGTAGGTGTAAGTCCCCTCTGTGGGCAACATCAGTTTAATGATCACGCCAGCATGCCTCTATACCTCTGGCAGGGTATATTGGGTCCTCTCGATAGGGCGTATACATCGGACTCCATATTTAGCTCCTGTGGTTTATGTCGGTTATTAGTAGTTCCCACAGTTTAGTCATACTCTATTGCATTGACCATATTTCAGTACAGTCAGTATTCAGTCTTAGCATGTTATAAATTTGGTCATTGCATCAGTTAGCTCAGTATTCAGTATCTATATCATGTTCAGATTATTTCATTGTTTTATTGCTTTGTTCAGTTATATGTTATTTCAGCTTTACTCCATCATGCATGCTCAGTACCTCTCAAGTACTGACGCATATGTGCGCTACATCTTCTCGTGATGTAGGTTCAGGTTCTCAGCATCTAGATCACACTTAGATCGGTTCCCGATCTCCAGTTCAGCAGCATCAGTGGTGAGTCTTCATTCTTCGAGGACTAGTGACATGTTTATCTTTATCGCTTTTAATCTTTAGTTTCAGTTTTTGCTAGACCTAGTTGGGGCATGTCCCAACATTTCTAGTCAATTTAGAGGCTTATTTCAGACATAGTTATATTCAGCTTAGTGTTTTGAGTTTGATATTTCTTTTGTATTAAACTCTCAGATTTGATATATTCAGTTATAGTATATGGGTATTCCCCATTTTTTCAAATTTATTTATGAATTAGCTTCAGCATCAGTTTATTATCTTTAGTATGCTCATGATCATGCCAGCAGGGTTAGCTTGGGATCACTTGTGGTCCTAAATCCCGTGTCCGCGTCTCGGGGGTAGCTCGGGGAGTGACAACTCCAGTAGTGCCTTGATATTTTTTCTTCATCAAATCCCAAATATCCTTAGAAGTTTCTTTGCAAAGAATAGTTTCTAGGATAGGACGATCGATAGCCTTAAAGAGATAATTCTTTGCCTTCAAATCTTTCAACTTTCTTGCTTCGAGCTCTACCTTTTGAGCATTCGTTAAGGTTTCACCTTCCGTCGGAGCTCCGATTCCGTCCTCGATAATTGGCCAATACTCCTTTGACCGCAAGAAATTCTCCATCAGCATACTCCAATGGTCATAGTGACCATCGAAACGGGGTATAGCTGTGTCACGCCCCAAGCTACCCCCAAGACGCGGACACGGGACCTAGGACCACAAGTGATCCCAAGCTAACCCTGCTGGCATGATCATGAGCATACTAAAGATAATAAACTGATGCGGAAGCTAATTCATAAATAAATCTGAAAAGATGGGGAATACCCATATACTATAACTGAATGTAGCGAATCTAAGAGTTTAATACAAAAGAAATATCAAACTCAAATACTAAGCTGAATCTAACTATGTCTGAAATAAGCCTCTAAACTGACTAGAAATGCTGGGACAGGCCCCAGCTAAGTCTAGTAAAACTGAAACTAAAGGACTAAAATACTGAACGAAACTCATGACTATTGTCCCCGAAGAATGAGGACTCACCAACTGATTCTGCTGAACTGAAGATCGGGAATCGATCTAAGCGTGATCTGGATGCTGAGAACCTGAACCTACATCACGAGAAGATGTAGCGCACGTATGCGTCAGTACTTGAAAGGTACTGAGCATGCAGGATAGAGTAAAGCTGAAAGAACATATAACTGAACAAAGCAATAAAGCAATGAAATAATCTGAACATGATATAGATACTGAATACTGAGCTAACTGAATGCAATGACCAATTTATAACATGCTGACTGAATACTGAATGAACTGTAAATGTGGTCAATGCAATAGGGTCTGACTGAACTGTGGGAGCTACTAATAACCGACATAAAACCACATGAGCTAAATGTGGAGTCCGATGTATACGCCCCATCGAGAGGACCCAATATACCCTGCCAGAGGTATAGAGGCATGCTGGCGTGATCACTAAACTGATGTTGCCCACAGAGGGGACTTACACCTACGTGGCTCGTAGTTCTGGGACTATATGGGTACGCTGAAACCCTAGTCCAACTCGGTATTATGCTACTCCCAATGAATTAAGTAGTTAACTGGTTATGACTGAATTTCTGTAAATACTGGATAGCTCGAACTGAACATGCAAACTGAGAATGCAACAATTAATCTGATAATGATGCATTCATAAACTGAGGCATGTAAAACTGAATACTGAAATATCTGACCTAGCATGTGTAATTCAAGAACTAAAGAAATACATAGCTAGGGTTCTGAAATTCATGCGAGAAACTGAGCAATAACATGATAATCTGATTTGGAACATTTAAATAACTAATTCATGATGATCTGTTCAAATTCTAGAAACCCTAGGTCTGTTCATAATCATGGAATCAAGAATCTGACTGAATTCTAGGGACCTAATGGGCGAAAGGAACCCACTAGTGAAATCCCACATACCTGGTGACGAATTCCACGGAGAAATCTTTCGATTTCGGGGCTGGAACTGAAGAAACCTCGTTGCGTTCTTGAACTAGGGTTCTTGACCTTTTTCTCCTCTCTTGCTTC